GTACTAGCCTTGAGCTGAAGAGCTGAGGGATAGCACTTAGGCCAGAGTTCAAGCCCCATGACTGACAAAAAAAAAAAAAAAGCCAGCTCTGGCAGAAAAGTCCATGAGACTCGCCTCCGATAAATTACACAGAAAAGGCCAAAAGTGGTGCTGTGGCTCAAGTAGTAGAGTGCTAGCCTTGAGCAGAAGCAGCTCAGGGACAACGTTCAGGCCCCAAGTTCAAGCCCAGGACCAGCAAAAAAAAAAAAGACTAATGAATGTTTAAAAAGCACTTTATTACTAAAACAAATTGCCAAGATGCTAACTCATTTATGTACTAACCTTTCTAAAGGCTTTTTTTTTTTAATGCTGGTCATGAACTTAATTTTTATAGAGGTAAAAGAATTACTAATTGGTACATTTTTTTTGTTAAAATGGCTGTTTAAAGTTAACATTAGAATGAAAAGTAAATATAAGTTTTTTGAACCTTTGTTACAGACACAGGGCTATCTGGAGAAAAAAATCAAATTTTGTTAAAGCTAGTTACTTTGCATCACAGCACCAGATTCCATTGTTTTTGTTTTTTTATGGTTCCTCTCTGGGACACCTTTGTCCGCTGAATAATAAACAATTTCATTGCACAGGTTTAAAGACCATAGGAACTAGGACACTGATTAGCAGCATAGATTATCCACATTTAGCCGCAGACTGGTGGCCAACAGAGGGAGTAGTGTGTTGCTATGGATTTTGAAGAACTCATTGTACTAGCAGAGGCTTCTGGAAGAGATCTTTAGGTCTGTCAGATTTATACACTGTCAACATTTCACCCAAGATACTAGGAACATGAAATGAGAAATAATCTGCTTTTTGAACCAGCCTAAGTTAATTTTAGGAACAATTTTTGAAGGGATGAGAAACCTATTTTTTCCAGGCAGCCTTTCAGGCAATGAGGAAAATAAGTACAAAGTAAGAGAGTGACAATGTCAAAAAACCTTCCTGGAATCCCAGAAAACAAACAAACTTGCCTTGAAAAAAAAGAAAAGCAATTGCTGACTGATAGACTTGACACAGATCATCTTTCACACACACCCACAAAACAAAGATAGCCCAGGTAAGAGAACATTGCTCTTCAAGGTAAACAACCACCAAAAAGGCAAGACAAGAATTTTAAGGCACACTTTGCAAGGACCTTCTTCATTATAATCATAGTAACATCACTTATGTGTTCCAAGCCACATGTAGGTATTTTAGATAGTCTTAACACTCACAGAAATGAAATGCACTAGCAATTTTAGAGAGCCCAAGGGGTAACACCATCGGAGTTTTGGGGTTTTTCCCCCAAGAAAAATTTTCATTCCCTATTGTACTGGTGGCTCATACCTGTAATCTAGGTACTCAGGAGGCTAAGATCTGAGGACCACAGTTCAAAGCTAGCTGTGGCAAGAAAGTCTGTGAGACTTATCTTCAATAAAGCACCAGAAAACTGGAAGTGGAGCTGTGGTTCAAAGTGGTAGAGTGCTAACCTTGGACAAAAAGAACACATAGACAGTACCCAGGCCCTGAGTTCAAGCCCCATGACTGACCCCACCTCCCCCCAAAAAAACTAATCAAGATAAACAGTACACATCTAGGTAAATATCTGACTTACTGATGCATCTTCCAAAGTTCTAAAGTTACCAGGATGACCAAAGGCTTCTGTAGAATACATGTACTTTACTAATATGTCTAATATAAGACCCTTCAGAGAACCTGTGGCAAAACAAAACAAACAAACAAAAAACCAAACACTAGGAAATCTTACCTCCCTGGGCTTGTCAGGCTAGAGGAGTCTTTAATGAGCACAGCTTAACTATTATTATATTATTAGAGGACAAAAGAGTCCCTCAACTGTGCAGCCTTTAGTAGACTATTGATTGGTTTAGTAGTTTGTTGACAAAGGTATTAGGTCTAGAAGTTATGCCATGAGATCATAAAGTGTTTAGGAGTTGTCTTCAAAGACTGAAAAGCCTTGGGAACAGGAGATAAGAATACTGAGAAGAAGGTAGATTTCAACTCAAACTGAGTTTATAAACATCAGTGCAGTCCCAAAAGAAATGAGCAGTTTGAAAAAAAACATAAACAGAAGTTGAATGATAACCTCTTGGAAATTTTAGGGATTTCTGGATTACATAAAAATTTTATCCATGGGCTGTTTCTGATTCTAAAGATTATTTCATTATATGTCAGCATTCTTTTTTTTTTTTTTAGGGGGGTCCGGCCATGGGGCCTGAACTCTGGGGCTGGGTGCTGTCCCTCAGCTCTTCAGCTCAAGGCTAGCGCTCTACCACTTGAGCCACAGCGCCATTTCCAGCTTTTTTCTTTTTGCTTATGTGGTGCTGAGGAATCGAACCCAGAGCCTCAGGCATGCAAGGCAAACACTCTACCATTGAGCCACCTTCCCAGCCCTGTGTCAGCATTCTTGCTGATGGCAACAGCTACAGAGGTGACCTGAGTAGTAAGTCAGCTTGAGTCTGGCACATTGAGAGCCTGCAGGCAGGATCGCTTGAGTCCAGGAATTTGAGGCTACTCTGAGCAACATAGTGAGGACCTCCCCTCTTTTCTCAAAACCAACCAGGCCAATGTGAAATGTCTGGGGAAAATGCCACATGGAATTTAGGGGAGGGAGAACACTCAAATTTTGGTGTCAAGGACAAAAATTTTCTTGCATATAGCAGATATGAAATGCCATATTAGCAACCTTTGTAAGAGCAGAAGGAAAGGAAGACCAGTGTGAAAGTTTGGGGAAATACAAAGTCTCCTGAAAGGAGGTAATGAGCTCAAACCCAAGATCAATAGAGGAACAAGCAGATGACAGCCATGTGGCAAAGTATAGGTGACAGGATTTTAAAACTTTATGCTAATGACTGGGGATAATTCATAAAGTCAAAAGTTAAAGGTATTCAGACTCAAAAGTGTGGCTCAGTGGCAAAGTGCTTACCTACCATGTACTACAACCTTGGTTTGATCCCTAGCACTGCGAACAAACAAACAAAACACAGTGAATATGGCTTTTAGACATGCTAGCCCACTGTTCTAACATGGACCAAAATAGAAAGCTTTTTATCATCAGGAAAGGGATTAGAAATCTTTAACCCAGAAAGTAACTCAGAGGGTGTTAGCTAAAATGATCATGAAAGGACAAAGCAGGAGTTGAGGAGTAATTCAGTGGTAACACTTTGCTCAGCCTGCAAGAGCCTCTGAGTTCAATCTCCACACTGCACCCAGAAAACAAAACAAAACTGAAAGACTGGCCAAATTCTGTATTCTCAAGTAGCACACATATTGACCTATAATCATACATCAAAAGCGAGAGCAGAAGGAGGCTGAGAAGGTGGCTCCAGGCATGAGGCCCTGGGTTCAATTCCTCAGCACCATATCAGCAGAAAAAGCTGGAAGTGGTGGTGTGGCTCAAAGTGGTAGAACACTAGCCTTGAGCTGAAGAGCTGAGGGACAGTGTCCAGGCCCAGAGTTCAGGCCCCATGACCAGCAAAAAAAGAACAAAAGACAATCAACAACAACAACAAAACCAACAACAAAAGCTAGAGCTGGCTGAGAATGTGGCTTATTGGTAGAGTGCTTGCCTAGCATGTATGAAGCCCTGGGTTCAAATGGCTCAGTATCACAAAACAGAAAAAGCCAAAGTGGCACTGTGGCTCAAGTGGTAGAGTGCTAGCCTTGATCAAAAGAAGCTCAGGGACACTGCCCAGGTTGAGTTCAAGCTTCAGGACTGGGAAAAAAAAGCTAGAGTATAGTTAGTTATATTTGATAGGAATATGAATTAAGTTAGAATCATGGAGGGTAATACTATAAACACAGTCTGGGAGGTAATACTGGCATTAAATGTTCATGTATCGGTAAGACTGACTATGTTATGTTCATGATTCCTAGAGTAAGCTATAGGAAGTACCCATTCTCTCAAAACATGTCCCTGGAACCTGGATGGTCATCTTTCTTAAGGCTGAAATCTATGTGCCATTAGGAGTTACTCTCTCCATCCTGTTACTGTTTAAGATGAACTTGGCATGGTGGTGTGTACCTGTAATCCTGGCACGGAGGGACAAGGTGGTGGGGAGCAGAATAGAAGATCAAAAGCTTAAGGCCTGGGGGCTGGGAAGGTGGCTCAGTGGTAGAGTGCTTGCCTTGCATGCCTGAGGCTCTGGGTTCGATTCCGCAGCACCACATTAGCAAAAAGAGAAAAAAAGCCGGAAGTGGTGCTGTGGCTCAAGTGGTAGAGTGCTAGCCTTGAGCTGAAGAGCTGAGGGACAGCTCCCAGGCCCAGAGTTCAGGCTCCATGACCGGACCCCCCCCCAAAAAAAAAAAAGCTTAAGGCCTGAGCTACATTACAAGTTCTAGGATAGCCTGACTAACATAACTAGACTATCTTTCACATGTACAAGACTTAGGATGGCTCTCAACTAATGTATTAGAACAGCACACAACAGGAATCACACAGATACTTATATAATACTCTTTTCTTTTTTAAAAAATTACACACAGAAAGCAATACCAGTTTTTTTTCTCTTAAGGGGATACAGACATGGAGGGTGAAGAAAAATATATACTTGTATTGATCGGTCATGTGATTGAACTAATTTTGCATCTAAGAGGACAATTTAAATGTTCAAAAGAAGGAGGCACTATAAGCGTTGGATGATATTTTTCTTTGGTTCCCAGGGAACCGGACCCTGAGTTCTCCAAGGCTGAGTGAGTTCCAAAGTTGTTTTTTGTTTTGTTTGGGTTTTTTTTGCTCACAGATTCTTTGTAACACACAAAGAATCAAGACTCTAGTGCCAGCTATGTACCCCAAAGTGGTTAGGTAACAATTCACATTAGATGTATAAAATTAAACCTAAATCTCTAGGCTCCAGGGCACAATCCATGTATAAAAAGCCCCTACTTCATAAAACCAGTTCCTGGGCTTTAGTACAGGCTATCCTCACACTAGCCTGGAAACTGAACTGTGTCTTCTCTCCTCCCCTTAAAAAAGAGTGAATACAGACTTGAGGGGATTTGGCCTCAGTGGGAGATGCCCAGAGACTGCAACAGGTGAAAGGTGGCCCCCAAGGCCCAGCCGGTCTCTATGTTGTTCACTTTTTTTGTGAGCTGTAAGAGAGAAAGAAAGAGAGAGAGTTCACATCTTCATGCAATTTTCAACTTTAGGAAGCATGGCACTTGGTAAAATAATATCTGCAAAAAGCATGCACATAGCCAAACGAAAGCAAGACTGAGAATGGCTAACCATCTTCCCACTGCTCCCCGCTAATAACTGCCTGTAGCCATGGATTATAACCACTATACCCAGATTCTGGTCCCTGAGTACTTCTGGCTCAGAAAATGGTTCCACTCAAGCCTTCCAAAGAGAGATTTTAGTCAGATATATTCTGAACTCCTTCCTTAATCCTGAAAAGAAGCACAGGGTTCCCTGCCTTATATTCTAAATCACCTATTTCTAATATGGCAACTTACAATGAGATGTTAGTGGATGTGGTAGAAAAGGCATTGTCAAAAGTTGGGAATAGGGGGGCTGGGAAGGTGGCTCAGTGGTAGAGCGCTTGCCTTGCATGCATGAGGCCCTGGGTTCGATTTCTCAGCACCACACAAGCAAAAAAATGCTGGAAGTGGCGCTGTGGCTCAGGTTGTAGAGCGCTAGCCTTGAGCTGAAGAGCTGAGGGACAGCGCCCAGGCCCAGAGTTCAGGCCCCACGACTGGCAAAAAAAAAAAAAAGTTGGGAATAGCTAGGCGCTGGTGGCTCATGCTTAATAATCCCAGCTACTCAGGAGACTGAGATCTGAGGATCGAGGTTTAAAGCCAGCCCAGGCAGGAAAATCCATGAGTCTCTGATCTCCAATAAACCACCAGAAAACTGGAAGTGGTGCAGTGGCTGAAGGTAGAGCACTAGCCTTGAGCTGAAGAGCTGAGGGACAGGGCCCAGGCCCAGAGTTCAAGCCCCACAACCGAGAAAAAAAAAAAAGTTCGTAATACATTTAGTAGTGGGAAAAATACACTAAACTACTCAATTCATACCATGTAAACAACTGCCTCTTCAGCACTGAAAATAACCAACCAGGCATTCTGGGGCCAGGTTGTAGTCAGAGAGCATAGACAAAACATTAAACTTAATTTCCTCAATCACAGAACAAAGGCTTTGAATAGTGTTAATTTGGAAATATTTCAAAGGAGAAAGAGAACTCAGATGGAAAGGGATTCTAAGCCCATAGCCACTACTGCAAAGATAATGGCTCCTTTCATCAGTTCATGTTCCCAGCCTGGCTGGCTCTGAAAAGCTTTTTTTTTTGGTCAGTCGTGGGGCTTGAACTCTGGGTCTGGGCGCTGTCCCTCAGCTCTTCAGCTCAAGGCAAGTGCTCTACCACTTGAGCCACAGCGCCACTTGCAGTTTTCTGGTGGTTAATTGGAGATAAGAGCAAGAGTCTCACGGACTTTTCTGCCTGGGCTGGCTTTGATCCTCAATATCAACCTCCTGGGTAGCTGGGAGGTGGGTGCCCAGCTGAAAAGGATTTTTGTTTAAGGTGCCACCACCACCAAGCAAACAGAAGTTTGGAAATTAGTGGTTGTTCTGCCTACTTGATATAGTCACTGTGCCCCAAACTGGGCAGAATGGTGTTTAAATCATTATGTTAACATTTAGTCTGAGACACCTGAGTAAAACGGAAGCTCCCTGCACCCAAAAGCTCTCTCTACCAGCATTGGGCAGGTAGCCTAGGGACACAGATGCCTAGATCAAACAGTTTCTGGGACAGAAAAGTGATCCTGCCTGATTTAAATTCTGCCCCCTGACCAGCAGAACGGGGGCAGATGAATGGAAAAAGATAAGTTGGACGAATGCAGTTATAACATTCAACATATATATGTGAAAATGGAATCAAGTAACTTGAGGAGATGAGTAGGATTGGAACAAATAAGGGAGAATGATGGAAGAAATGACATCCATCAAGATACAGTGTACTCGGGCTGGGAAGGTGGCTCAGTGGTAGAGCGCTTGCCTTGCATGCAAGAGGCTCTGGGTTCGATTCCTCGGCACCACATAAGCAAACAAAAAAAATGCTGGGGGGCTGGGAAGGTGGCTCAGTGGTAGAGCGCTTGCCTTGCATGCAAGAGGCTCTGGGTTCGATTCCTCAGCACCACATAAACAGACAAAAAAAAAGCCGGAAGTGGTGCTATGGCTCAAGTGGTAGAGCACTAGCCTTGAGCTGAAGAGCTGAGGGACAGGGCCCAGGCCCAGAGTTCAGGCCCCAAGACAAAAAAAAAAAAAAAAAAGATACATTGTACTCACAAACTGACATTGAATTGAAACACCTTTATATAAGTAAAGATCATAAAAAAAAATTAAGGCAAGTTCTATTCCTCTCCCCCACCCCCTTAAATTATAGCAATTGAAAGAATGCTAGCACCTGAAATGGCCAGAAAATTATTTTTTTTTTGGGGGGGGTCAGTCATGGGGCTTGAATTCTGGGCCTGGGTGCTTCCCTCAGCTCTTTCAGCTCGAGGCTAGCACTCTACCACTTGAGCCACAGCGCCACTTCCAGTTTTCTGGTGGTTAACTGGAGGTAAGAGTCTCAAGGACTTTCTTTCCCAGGCTAGCTGTGAACCATGATCCTGAGATCTCAGCCTCCTCAGTAACCAGGATTACAGATGTAAGCCACCAGTGCCCGACTTAGAAATTATTCTTAACTGACTTGTTGATGCTTAAGTAGAGGTTGTTGACTTACTATGAACTGAATGGTTTGGGATAATCTCTCTCATCTTCAAAAACCATCCCCAGCTGGGTGCTGGTGGCTCACACCTGTAATCCTAGCTACTCAGGAGGCTGAGAACTGAAGATCAGGTTCAAAGCCAGCTCAGGCAGGAAAGTCTGTGAAACTCTTATCTCTAATAAAGCACCAGAAAACTGGAAGTGGTGCTGTGGCTCAAGTAGTAGAGTGCTCTCCTTGAGCTGAAGAGCTGAGGGACAGCGCTCAGGCCCAGAGTTCAAGTTTTGTAACCACCACCACCAACCAAAAAAACCATCCTCAATTGGTGTGAGACATGTTTACTAATAGTAATACCAGTATTACACCATTTTCATATATGCTAACCATTATGCTTTACATGCAATGTCTCAATTATCATAACTATAAAATAGGTATTATAAGGATCCCTGTATTCTAAATAAGAGACATTAAAAGTTAAGGGAAGGCAGGCACCAGTGCCTCACACCTATAATCCTAGCTAGTCAGGAGGCTGAGATCTGAGGATATCCATTCAAAGCCAACCTAGACTGGGAATTAATCGCAGGGTTAATTAACCCAAGGTTAATTCCCCAATTAACTACCAGAAAACTGAAGAGGCGCTGTGGGTCAAAGTGGTAGAGCATTAGCCTTGAATGAAAAAGCTGAGGAATAACGCCCAGGCCATGAGTTCAAGCCCCACAACCGATGATTATAAAAAAATAAATAAAGCTAAGGGAAACAAATCATCTTAAGGACATAGTAACTTTAGAGAGTCAGACTGTGAATGCAGACTAGCTAGACAACAGAGTTCATGTACTCCATTAACGCTCCTTGCAAATAACTTTTTTGTTAAGTACTTGAAATGCTTACATTCTTGACAGATATAACAACACGTTAAATCCAAACATCTTAGTAGTAGTGATTTTTATGAAATCTGTATAACACAGGAAATGGATAATATAAACACATCTGAAACTGGGGAAATGAAATGGCACAAGAGAAGATAGGGAGGAAAGGCTAGAAGAACAACTACAGTTTACTTCCTTGATTAAAGTTTACCTCTCTAATTGCCTTTTTTTTTTTTTTTTTTGCTAGTCCTGGATCTTGAACTCTGGCCTGGGTACTGTCCCTAAGCTCCTTTTGCTCAAGGCTAGCACCCTCACCTCGTGAGCTAGAGCACCACTTGCAGCGTTTTCTGTGATTAATTGGAGATAAGAGTCTCATGAGGAGCTTCCTGACTGGGCTAGCTTTGAACTGTGATTCTCAGATTTCAGCCTCCTAAGTAGCTAGGATTACAGGCATGAGCCACTGGCTCCCGGAAAGAACATCTTAATCATTTTTGTAACATGTAATTATAACAGGAAATTATATAACATGTAATTATCCCAATGTGATACATAGGGTAAAAAGTAATTTGTTCAAATTATACTGTCTGTATGTATGGAAATATCACAATGAAACTTCTCATTATAAGTCTTTGTTTTTGTTTTTTTGGGTCCGGTTGTGGGGCCCGAACTCTGGGTCTGGGCACTGTCCCTCAGCTCTTCAGCTCAAGGCTAGCACTCTACCACTTGAGCCACAGTGCCACTTCAAGCTTTTTTTTTCTGCTTACGTGGTGCTGAGGAATCGAACCCAGGGCCTCATGCATGCAAGGCAAGCACTCTACCACTGAGCCACCTTCCCAGCCTTCTTACTTTCTTTTTTAAAATTAAGTTTTTGAGTTAACAAAGACTTATAGGGGCTGGGAAGGTGGCTCAGTGGTAGAGCGCTTGCCTTGCATGCCTGAGGCCCTGGGTTCGATTCCTCAGCACCACATAAGCAAAAAGAAAAAAGCCAGAAGTGGCGCTGTGGCTCAAGTGGTAGAGCGCTAGTCTTGAACTGAAGAGCTGAGGGACAGCGCCCAGGCCCAGAGTTCAGGCCCCATGACCGGACCAAAAAAAAAAGTAAGAAAATAAAAGGGATAGATGAAACTCATAAGTTATGTCCTAGAGTAAGTAACTTACTACGGAGTCTTCATGTGCTGGAGTTGATGAAGAAGTAGAGACTAAGGGAAATCTAAGATTCTTAAGAGGCACCAAACACCCAAGGTTTGTATGAAATATATAGGCCATACTACATACACTTAAGGCATTCAATATTCATGAGGTTTTAAGTAAGCCACCCTCTTCTGGTACTCTATGTCTTCTGCCTTTATTTGGAAGATTGTTAGATAGGTTTGTTTACCTATCTAATTGGCTAATGGTAAGCTACTGCTGCTGATCAGGTGTATCTGCCACTGGAAGAGAGAAAGTTTGTGTTCTAAGCACCAAGCCGAACACAAGTAATCCTAGACTCAGAAAGCATGACACGCCTACCAGCGTGTACCCTCTGTTCATTATTTCTTCCATCTCTTTCCCAGCGTGTACCCTCTGTTCATTATTTCTTCCATCTCTTTCCCCTTTCTTCCTCTTTTATGCTCAGTTCTAAACAGATTTAATAAGCCATGTGACTTGGCATCTTCATTGGGCTCCAAGTCCTTCTGTTCTATGTCCTCTGGGATAGTTAGCCTGCTACTAAACTCAGAAGCTACCATAGTGTTAAGGTAATTTCCTATATTCATGGCGCCTTGGCTACCCCCTGAACAAAAGCAGCTCCAGCTATATCTACTGTGATTACTAAATAACTGTGCATACATGAACATGTGTATATGTGTGCAAGTGTGTGTGTGTTGTGGGGGATTGAACCCAGAACAAGCTAGACAATCTTCCACCACTGAACTACATGCCCATATCCAAAACAGGATCTTGGCTCTTTGACACTTAAGAAAAAACAGACTTGGGGCTGGGAAGATGGCTCAGTGGTAGAGCGCTTACCTTGCATGCACGAGGCCCTGGGTTCGAGGAGCACCACATAAGCAAAAAGAAAAAAGCCGGAAGTGGTGCTGTGGCTCAAGCAGTAGAGTGCTAGCCTTGAGCTGAAGAGCTGAGGGACAG